ATTTATCAACTACAATTATTTTAATGCCAAAATTTCAACATATAACGATGTACATACCGATAAGAATCGATAACAACAAGAATAAAGTTAAAATTTCCAGAAAATTTCAAAATATCAGGTTCAACTTCAACACTTGAGCATATATGGATAAGCAAGTCTTCCGATAATTAATTTACTTAGGAATATATCGATAATATAATAGTATGTATCGATATATCAATATATGTATATATTTGTAATAATAAAATTAAATTTGAGTAACTAAAAAACTTGAGTACTTATCGGTAAAAAATATTTATCGATGTACATATGTATAAACCGATAATAATCGATAACAAAAAGAATTTAAAAATTTATAAAATGTTGAAAATATTAATCAACTACAATTTATTTTAATACAAAACATTTAAAATAAAAATTTGGAAAAAAAATATACATATGCATACAACATTTCGACAATGCGAAACTGACGCATTCAAACATCTATTTTGCGCGTTATTACCATTTTTAACTACAAAACTTGAGTATATATGGATAATTAACAATTATAAATCGATATATCGATAATTTTAATTAGGGTACAATTATCGCGACATATCGATAACAACAATTATGTTGGAAATATCGAAAACTACTTTTTAGTCTAATCTAAAAAATTTCAAAACAAAAATTGTTTAAAAAATACTGAAAATTTATATTTGAATAAAATTATATCGATAACAGCAATAACTCGGAACTATGATAAAATACGAACATGGTATTTACATAGGAGTAAGGTTGATCTCATTAAAAAATTGGTGCGATCTGTTCTAAAGGATTAATTTGAGTACATATCGATAATTATATATGTATGTATCGATATATAGATATGTCGTGTATATATCGATCATAATAAAATACAATTTTAAGAGTATATATACATGAGTATATATCAATAAAAAAATATATCGATGTATATATCGATAATAATCGATAGCAAAAAAAATTATTGCGTTGAATATTCTAGATAATGTTAGAAATACTTACAAACTACAATTTATTTTAATCTAAAAAACAAAATGCATTTTTTATGTAACAAACTTTAGTAAATATCGATATATAAAATTTATATATCGATAATAATCGATCAAAAATAATCATATGTACGTTATATCAAATACGAAAAATTTACACCGATATTTTAATTATAAAAATGTACTTGAACAAATTTTATCGATAACAGCATTAACTATTAGGAACTAAAATACTAGCATATTAAAGGAATTTAAATATCGGTCCAATATATGCTGAAGTATGCAAAATATAGTACTGAGATTGGTAACAGTAACAACTATGGGGATGAAAAAATTGTAACGGAACTGAAATATCACTTCTATCTGTTCTGAAGTATGAACCAAACATTATTGGCATCAGTATATAACATATCTAGATATATGGCACTGCACCTCAACAATTTCCATGCAAATTTAATTTATATTCATTTTGTATGTCTTCCGGTAATTGTTCTAACGGTTAATATGAAATCTCCCAGCACCTTGACTGCCCACACACAAATTATTCATGTCGCATTAAAACCATTTTTTTGCCACAAATGAACATTTGTACGCATTAATGTGATGTGGCAACGCAAATGTACATGCAACACACTTAAGCTAAGCAAAATCCCTAATGGAATCCCATTTCCAAGAGATTTGGGTGTGCGCTGCTTATCGTCCGTATAGCCAGAGCAAAAAGCAGCAAACCAATATAATCGAGGACGCTGAGGCTGACTGTGGAAAAGTGTGTACGCATACATAGCAACTAATTTAGACGCCATAAAATGCACATAAACATAACGAACTAATTTATTGCTATAACGTGCGACACCAGCAACATTAACTGTCCCACAGCATAGACAAGGCAAGACAAAGCAGCGCGCGCGAATGTGTGCACCGTGCTAGTGCAGTAAAAACACCTGAATCTTTGTATGACTACATAGTATATGGACTCGGCAAGAGCGCGCGGCAGTGTTGTTGCAAGTTGGCGACGCTTATGTTGCAGCTACAATGCAATGACATTAGTTTACCCACACCTCGACGATGACGACGACGACAGCAGACAGCAGGCAAGCGATGATCAAGAGCGAAGCGCACTTCGTGGATGGAAGAGCGGAAAGCGGCGCAGTTCATGGGCGCATGCAAGGTGAGTGTGTGAGGAATCATAAAAATCACCTCGGAGGCAGTAAAAAATCATTGCAGATGATATTTCACTGGCGAAAAGTGTACAAAATTACATGATTGCCGGAGTGTTGGTAGGCGCGCGCATGTGTATGTGAACGCGCCGATACAAGCCGGTGATAGCCAACTACGACGCGCATGCTTAAAACGCTCTGACCAATGTGGCGCGCGCGCGTACATACATGCAACTAGTCCTAGTCAGCCAGCCATTTTAGCATATGTCGCAGGAATAATTGCTGTGAAAATGTAAGATGGCGTTGTGGGTTGGCGCAGAGCGCTGTGGCTGAGGTGGAACGCGCGGCTGAGCTGGAACCGAGCAATGTGTATGAGTTGCMGATAAAGCTGTTGCTTTTGTTATTGCGCTTGTTGTTGTTGCTGTTTAGCAAATGTATTGGCGGTAATGGAATTGGAAGTGAAATAACAAGTGCCAGCTGAAGTCAAAGCGATTTGCTTAGTGGAAATGTCGCGACAAGGCGAATCGATTAGATGCGCCCGAGCGGCCGCGAATGTTTGTGTGTATATATGTAATAATATTGTCGTAATGCGAAATATGCAACTGCATCTGTATGTAAATGTGGCATTGGAATTTATTATGATTTCTGGAGAATATGATTGCCACAGCAACGCAACGCGCCGCGCCGCGTCCCAACAAAACGAAGTCGCAGCGAAGCATAGTCGGCGCTGAGCTAACAGTGGACAAAAAGTAGAAAGTGGTGTTTGAAAATGCATTTGTGACTAACTCATACATACATACACATGTATATAGTTGCCGTGCACGCGTCTATGTATTGTGTTGCATGTGTGCGCATTGAAAAAGAATTGAGTTGTGACGCGTTTCATGCGTTCGCATACGGTGCGTGCAAATTACAATTTGTAGGGTCTTAAATGTTTATGGCTGCTTGCTAAAATTTATAGCCAACTCACAAGCGAACAAAGAATTAAACCAAAAAATACACATAAACATACGCACAAGCACCTACAGAGACCTGCATGCGCATGCGCGAACGTGTGTTGCAGTCGCAGCCGTCAGCGTCATGTTTGCTAATGCGGTTAGCTGGTTGTATTTCTGTTGTTGTTGTTACACTTTGATTGTTGTTATTCGCTTATGAGCGCACCACTGTGACACAGCATTACAATCACTATTGTTGTTGGGGTTGTTAATGTTGCAATTGTTGTTGTCGTTTTTGTTCTTGTTGTGGCTGCTGTTATAGTTTGCTGCCTGCTTGTATCGTTTCCTTGTTGTTTTTGTGCCTGTTACTTTTTGTTGTTTGTTGCTCATGTTGCATGCTACACATTGTTCGCTGTTACTGCTTTCTTTGCTGCATATGTGCGCGCCTACTTGCCAACTACCAGCCGCTTGACCAATCGGTTTTTGTAAGGTGCTAATAAGAATTTATATGCGCTACAATGAGTCGAAGTGAATTAATTAACCGATGTTGCTTGGCATAATTTTTGCCATTTTAGTAGCGCAAAAAAGCGACTAAGCAGAAATGATGTTACTGCTGCCAATTATGTTAGCAACAAATGTACTATACACACACGCACACACCCACCTGGGTATATGTTTAAGAATTATGTGTAGCAAATGTGGCGATGATTATTGTCAGTAAATGTTTTGTAGCATAGCCAAATGAAGACGGTTGAAATTGTTTTCTATGAAAAGGTAAACTTGTGGCGTTCGACTTTTGGATATTTTATATATTCTGTATAGATAAGATATATACTTCTTGGCATCATAAAAGAATTTGCGAATATTTTTTTTTATAAAAAACAAAAAAGACGTTAACTGAAGCCAAAGTACCCTCCACAAGCAAAGAAGTTTCCATACAAGAACTTTACTTTGGTCGTTCAGTTTGTATGGCAGTTATATGCTATAGTTCTCCGATTTAGAAAATTTCTTCAGATATGCTAGCATTATCTTAGGCTATTATGCTTGACAAATTACATTAATTTAACTCGTCAAATAAAAAAGTTGTTCATACAAGAACTTTACTTTGGTCGATCAGTTTGTATGGCAGTTATATGCTATAGTGCTCCGATTTAGTAAAATTCCTCAGATATTTTATCACTACCTTAGCAAATAGTTTCTGCCGAATTTCGTAAAGATATCTCGTCAAATGGAAAGGTTTTCCACACAACCATTTGGTTCCGATCATTCAGTTTATATGACACCTATATGCTACAGTGCTCCGATATCGACGGTTCTGGCAAGTAAGCTGCTTGTTGAGGAGCAAGGCGCTTGTGCATAATTTCTGAGTGATATCTCCAAAAGTGAGGGAATAGTGCGCGTATAAAGACAGACATGATGAAATCAAGTCTGCTCGCCCAGCTGATCAATCAAATACATATTTTATAGGGTCATAACTTCGTGGCTAACTTAATATATGCTGTTCAGTATATAAAAAAAATTGGTCACAATAAAAGAATACCGATTCTTAAATTTTCTTAACTCTTAATTTTCGGGATTCTGTAGTTAATAGGTACCCAAATAAGCTGCACATTTTCCTACAAATAAACTAAGTACTTGACTAAAAAAACTTGTAAAATCCGCAGATCCCGAATCAAAATTACGAATTACAATCCCGAATTGCAATCCCGTATCACAATCCACAACCGCATTCCCGAGTCGCAATCACGAATCGCAATCACGAGTCACAATCCCGAATTACAATACCGAACCACAATCCTGAATTAGTATCCCGAATTACAATTCTGAGTCCCAATCCCGTTGCACACGCTATTTTTATATTTATACATAAACAAAATCAAAAAGAGCTTGCTTACCTTAGTATTTGTTGTGCGTGGCACTCCGCCCAATGCGATCGCATACACTTCCACTTCATAGGTGTCCGGTCCGGCTTCGCGATCCAACTCCTTTGCCGTTGATAATATACCTAGTTTTGTATCAATATCGAAGAGCCGATCGACTTGTTTCACCGCACCCGAACGCGCACCAGCACCGATTGCCGTTACATTAGTCACGTAATACTCGATTTCGGCGCCATCTAGGCGTGCGTTCACAGTCAATATGCTGGTACCGGTCGGTTCATTTTCGTATACCGAACCGCTTTGTTCGCGTTGATCGAACGTGGGACCCGACGCCGTGCCCGTCGTTATGATCGTTATATACGCATCGGTGCTCTTACGTTCGCTCTGCACCGCTTCGTCGGTCGCCTTCAAGGCCAACTGATAGCGCACCTCCGGCTGATCGATGACTTTACGTAGCGTTATCGCGCCCGTATTGCGATGTAGCTTGAAGAGTTCCATATTACCGCTAACCATTTCGTAGGTGACCAAACCATTGCTGGATGAATCGGCATCGCGTGCATGCACATGCATCACCGGCAGGCCGTCACGATAGTAATGGCTTTGGGCCGAGGCTGACTGCATTGGCAGGATGGCCGCATTCATGGATACGAAATTGGGCGCGTTATCATTGATATCCTCTACGATGACGGTCACAAGCTTCTCAGCAGATAGTTGGGGTTCCGGTGATTCAGCTTGATCGGTGGCGACAACAGTCAAACGGAAAGTGTCGATGCTTTCGCGATCGATTTCACGTAGTGTGTGTATGACACCGGTCACAGTGTTAATGCCAAAGTGACGACCACCCGTCTGTTCAGGGTCCTGCTTAGTGATCGAATATGTAACCTTGCCATTCAAACCGGAATCTGGATCCTCGGCAGTTACCGTAACAATGGGAGTCTTAACGGCAATACCCTCCTTGATTTGGCGCACAATGGCTGTATTTGGAAAACTTGGCGGATTATCATTTTCATCCACCACATTCACGGTGAAGACAATTGTGTGCGCCAGGCGTGGTGTACCACCATCAGCAGCGGTTATATTTAGATGATAAACGGTAGTCTCCTCATAATCAAGCGGTTTGTGCAAGTAAAGGCTACCGGAAATGGCATCGATATGGAAAGTGTCCTTGCGATTGCCGGCCGTGATGCTATAGGTCACCTGACTGTTTACGCCCAAGTCGGAGTCCGTGGCATGGAAGCGCATCAATTCCGTACCGATGCTACTCGTCTCCAGCACAGACACCTCACTCGCTGTCTGCGCAAACTGTGGCTCCACATCGTTTTCATCCAACACCTCAACTATGATTGTGGTGTTGGTGCTTAGCTGCAGCTTAACACCGGCATCGCGTGCCACCACAATCAGCTTGTACGACGACTGCTGCTCGCGATCTAGCAAACGCGCTAATGAGAGCTGCCCTGTAGCATCATCCATAAGGAAGCGTTCCTCTTCGTTGCCCGCGACAAGCGAGTAGTATACGTCACCATTCAGGCCCTCATCCACATCGATCGAATAGACGCGCATTACTTGTGTGCCGACAGCAGCGCCTTCGGATATCTGCACGCGGTAAGGAGCGCGTACAAACTGTGGCGCGTTGTCATTGACATCTGTTATGATTATCTTCACTTTGACCTTGTCGTGCAAGCGTTGCGCACCATTATCCGTAACGACAGCTTCCAAAAGCACATAGTTATTGCCATTGTTATTACCGTCGCCTATGCTTGCAGCGCCAATCGTTGACTGTCCGTTGCTTTGTCCACCCACACCGATGCCGCTGCGCCGCTGTACGAGCTCCTCGCGGTCGAATGGATGCAGCGTCTTTATGAAACCATTACGCATATCGATGTTGAAGTCTTGTTCTTGCGTTGCCAAAGCATAAATCAGCTCTGCATTGCGCCCAATGTCACGATCCACCGCCGTTAGTTTGCCGACAAACGAATCGGCCGGCTCATTTTCTGCGATGCTAAAGGTGAAGGTACTATTTGTGAACTGCGGCGCATTGTCGTTTTCATCGATGACATGTATGATTACCGGCACCACAGAGGAACGCGCCGGCATACCACCATCACGGCATGCCACTGTTAGCGCGTAATAGTCGCGCTCTTCGCGATCTAGCTGCGCGCGCACAAACAAATAACCGTCGGGAAAGACGCCGAACTTCCGCTCTGTATTGCCCTCGATTATGTCGTAGGAGATGCGACCGTTTGCGCCAAGATCCGCATCACTGGCGGCTAGCGCAAAGAAACGCGCATTCACCTTGGTCAACTCGCTCAGCGATGTTTCGTACGATGTGTGATCGAACACAGGTGTATGATCATTGACATCGGCGATGAGCACATCGATGCTATGTCGCGTTGACAATGACGGCGTGCCACCATCTGTGGCCGCCAGCTCTACATGCAGCATGGTGCCGGGTGCAGCGCGCACCGGACGTTGCAATTGTAGTACGCCGGTTGCTTCGCTAATGCGAAACTGCTCCTCGGGATTGTAGGTGAGCGTGTAGGTGACACGGCTATTCATGCCCGAATCGCGATCACGTGCGCGTGACAAGTAAACCTCTTGACCGACAGCCGCGTTCTCCGGCAACTGTATCTCACCGTCACGATCTTGTGCAAAGATCGGCGCATTATCGTTCAAATCAGCAATCGCAATGCTCACCACACATTTGCCATACGCCAGCCCAGTGCGCGCCGCCACAGTGAGCTGATACTGCGCCAACTCTTCACGATCAATGCGGCGCGCTGTACGTATACGACCGGTGCGCCGATCCACTGCAAAATTCTCATCCGCATCGCCGTAGACGATCGTATACTCAATGTTGGGTGGCAATGTCGCTTTACCAGCATGTGACTTCACCTGAACGCGACCCACCTCACGTCCTGTGTCGGCCTCTTGTTGTTCATGATCTTCGACAATTTGAAACTCATAACTGCCATATGAGTCGAACTCGAGCAACTCCATTTTGGATTGCAACACAATCTCCACCACTGCATCTAGCTCGCTGCGACGTTCGCCGTGATCCTTTGCCGAAATTTTCAACTTGTAAAGTGCCTTCGGCGATTGGCGTATATCGGTGCTGCTGCCGGCGCGTAACGTTATCGCGCCACTCCATGTATCGACGACGAAATGCCCATCGCCACCTGACTCCAGTTGGTAGGTAATTAAGGCATTATCGCCCGCATCACGATCGCTGGCAGTGACTTTCAATAGTGGCTGCTGCTGTTGCTGGTGGTGGTTGTCGCCGGCATCGTCAGGCAACGCATAAAAATAATTCTTGGGATAAAACACTGGGCTGTTGTCGTTGACATCCTCCACATTAAGATAAACAGTAGCCGTGGCCGATTGTGGTGGTGCGCCCTGATCGCGTGCGATCACAAAAATCTCATAATGCGCAATTGTCTCACGATCAAGTACGCTGCGCGTCGTTAATTGGCCAGTGAGCGAATCGAGCGCAAATTGTTGTGGATACTTGCGCTCCACACTACCCGCCAGTGTGTATGTCACCGAGCCGTTAGTGCCCTGATCGTGATCGGCGGCCGTTAGCATGGCGACCAATGTCTGCGGCGGCGTATTCTCGTTCAGCGTAACGTTGATGTGTTGTTGCGAGAATTGCGGTGCTTCATCGTTTTCATCCAGTATGGTCACTTTCAGCTGTGTGTACGCCCACTTCGGATTTGGACCGCCATCACGTGCAGAAATGCTTAGCTCGACGCTGTCCTGCACTTCGCGATCCAATGCCGCCTGCGTTGTTATCAAACCGGACGTCGAATCAATGGCAAACCATTGTTTATTATTACCCGAAACAAAGTCATACGAAATCAAAGCATTAACACCGGTATCCTCATCGGTGGCCGTAATGGAGGCCACGTACGTGCCCGGCGGTGCCAATTCACTCAGCACTGCCGAATACTCAGACTTCTCAAATACCGGCTCATGATCATTGACATCGTTGACATGGATAATTAGATGGCCCGTCGCTGTGCGCGGCGGTGCACCTTTATCGATGGCGACAACTGTCAAATTGTACTTGCCAATTTCCTCACGATCCAACACACCATTAACGCGCACAATATCAAACGACGGTGTCTTCTCCAAGCGAAAGTGGCCCAACTCATTGCCAGAGATAATGCGTAAGCTTGTCTCACCATTCAGTCCCTCATCCATATCGACCACAGAGACGGCCGCAACGACGCTGCCGTTGGCCGCATTCTCATCGACTGTTGCGAATGTGCCGGTCGGTGGGAAATACTGAAAACGTATGACCGGATCGTGATCGTTAGTGTCCACCAGATTCACGGTAACGTAAGTGCGTCCATCCTGACGCGGTGAGCCATGATCGCGCGCGAATACCGTAAAAACACAACTCTTCGGACAACTCGCACCCGGACGTGCGTAAGTTTGACAATTCTGTTGCGGACAATTCAGCAATTCGGTGGTCGAAATGACGCCAGTTTCGGGATCGACTGTAAACTGTTGTTCGGTGTCGGCCAAGTAGTAAGTGATTTTAGCATTATCACCCAGATCGTTGTCGGAGGCCATCACCTGCAATACAGGTGTGCCGGGCGGTACGGACTCATTTAGCGAAACAATGTAATCGCTGTGATCGAATATCGGTGGATTATCGTTGACATCGACAATGGTAACATTGACCATTAGGTAACCATATTTTGGTGGCTCGCCACCATCGCGCGCCGATATGTTAAGCTGATAAAACCCGCATGTTTCACGATCCAAATTGCCCGTTGTCTCCAAGTGCAGATACGATACATCGCCACTCGGGTTCGTTGTGACGGCCAAACGAAATTTGTCCTCCACATTGCCATCCACAATACGATAATCATCCGTAACGCTATTCTCACCAATATCGCAATCGGTGGCGGCATCCAGTAGCAGGCGCGTGCCCGTGGCCGCGCTCTCCGAGAACGACACCGCGATGCTGGGTTCGGGAAACTCGGGCGCATTATCATTCAAGTCCAGCACAACAATACGCACCTCAATTGGATATGTGGGTTGCGAGGAGAGCACAACCAAGTCGTAACGATCGCGCATGCCCTCACGATCCAACACCATATTCGTCTTTATCTCGCCCGTCACCTGATCGAGCGTAAATTCACGTGGCGGTTCATTGAAACGGTAAGTGAAATCGGGTTTGGTCGGTATGAAACCGACGACTGTGCCGCGCGGTTGGCCCTCCAACACCTCGAATTGTGCGCTCGTATCCACCGCACGCGACTGCATCAGTCCGCTAACACCGTCAGCACCCGCCGAGGAGCGTCGACGTGGAAACGCCAGCACACTATAGTGTGCTATGGGGCCGGACGCGCTCGCACCAAAACCAACCGCTGCACCATATGCACCTGGCGGCTGGCGTTGGCTCTGGCATGGCGTTGGCCAAGCGCACAGCGCAAATATCAGGCAAATAAGTGGCACAACTTTGCTTAAGACTAAATTATGTTGGCGCTGACGTGTTGCTGCTGGCGCATAAGCAGCCGTTCGTACCGACTCTATGCGCGTTTGTGGCGTAATTTTGCAGTCTTCTTGTGTTTTTTGAAATTTCTGCGTTGCATTGACTTCTGCAACAGTAAGAGCAACGGTGCCGGTTAATACGCTCGTCGGCTTCGCGGTGCGCTTTGTTGCACGTGTTGCTGTTGTGGAAAAAGGGAAACTAACGCCAGCAGTGCGCCTGCTGTGTACGGCCGGACGGCTGACATTTGTGGCAATCGCAGAAATGAAGATATCGTTACAATTTGGCTGATTTGTCATGCTGTAAGTGCGCGTCTGTGCTGCTGCGCTCGCATTTGCGTCTGTGGCCGTGACCAGTTTGACGGCTTGTCCGCGTCGCCGTCCAGCGTAGTGCGCAACGTTTGCAGGCAAATATTTCGCGTTGCTGCAGCACATCATAATGTGGCTGCGCCTTTGAAGACTGCCAATTGGCGGTCCTTTACACTCCTCAACTGTTCTTTATTACACTATGTTGCTTTTGCAATAGTTTTTGTTGTTTTTGCACTTGTTTTTGTATTTGTTGTAATCTATGTGGTATGCGGACTTCGCTGAGTACGCTACGCCCGTGTGACGCTGTGCTATTTGCTGTGCGCTGCTGCTTATTGTTTGCGCCTTCTGGAATTCGCTCACGTTTTTGCCTTTTGTTGTAAACACTTAGTCGCTGTTGCTGCTTTATGTGTTGCTCGCTGTGTTGTTGTTGCTGCTGCTGCTGCTCGATTTCTATTCGCTGTGGAATGCGCAAACTCGAGGCCATTAGTGTACCCAATGCGATAAGTTCTGGCGATTGGTTTCATTTTATTCCCCTCCGCCGCTCAGACATTTTCACTATTGCACACAAACCACACACACATAGACACATACGCTTATGCAAACACAATCACAACTAAACACTTGTGTACGATATTCAACTATTTTCCACTTTTATAAATATACTTTGGGTAATTTATGATGATGAGGGTACGACGTCGTCCGTCAGCCTCAGTGCCGCCATGCGATTTTCACTTTTTTCTTTCACTTATTTTCTTGTTTTGTTGTAGGTTTAGGTATTTTTTCAGCTACTTTGTTGTTGTTGGTACGTACACTTTTTTGCACTTAGCACTTACGCGAGCAACGCTGCAATGGCGGTGACAGGAAGCCAGCCAAATCGACGGAAATCACACAGAAGTCATTAAAAAAATCTGAAAATAAAGCGAATATGAGCGAATTAGAATAGAAAGCAGTTATCTTTGTAGCTGAAGATTATAAAAATAATATTATATATATTTATAATAACTCATTACAAACGAGAGGCGGTAGTTACAACTACTAGTTAGAGCGCTTAGCTGTGTCTAAGCCAATTATCACATTAATTAAGAGCATAAAGCTTATTATGCTTTAACACAAACTGTATATATATATACAAATATACATGCATATATACTATATACCTCGCACTGGGTTATTCACGAAGTTTGTAACAACCAAAAGTAAGCAAAGGAGTCTTTCAAAGTACAATATATATGCTTTTACTTAGCCATATCCGTCTGTCTACATATAGAGATATCGTTCTACATTTTTGCACATGGCCTTTTCTCACTAAGAAGCTGCTCATTTGTCGGAACAAAGCAAATCGGACAACTATAGCGTATAGCTGTCATATAAACTGAACGATCGAAATCAAATTCTTATATAGAAAACTTATTAATTTGACAAGATATCTTCACGAAATTTGGTACAGTTTATCGTTCAAAGCAATGCTGCAATAACTAAAGAAATTTTCCAGATCGGATTGCCCTATGATATAGCTGTCATATAATTTGAATGAACAAAATCAAGTTGGTGTATGAACGACTTTTATGTTTGGCAAGTTATCTTAATGAAATTTTATACAGATTATTACCCAAAGCAAAGTCACAATATCTGAAGAAAATTTCCAGATTGAATGTCCGTAGTATATAGCTGCCATACAAACTGAACAACCAAAATTTAATGCTTGTATGAACAAATTTTTGGTTTGCAAGATATCTGCATGAAATTTGGTACAGCTTATCACAAAATGCAACGCTACAATTTCTGAAGAAATGTTCCAGATCGCACTACTATATCATGTAGTTGTAATACAATTTGCACGAACAAAATCAAATTCTTGTATGAAAAACTTTTTTGTTTGGTAAGATAATTTCCTGAAATTTGGTACAGCTTATCGCCCAAAATAACACCACAATATATGAAGATTTTGCAGGTCGGCCCTCTATATGTTTCAGCTGCCATACAACTTGAATGCACAAAATCGCTTTCTTGTACAGAAACTAATTTATTTGTGTAGGGTATACTAGCTCCGTTGCTAATAGAAGTTTATGATTGTTGAAGTTTATGATTTTCTTAAAATACTCATCATCATTCATCTATAATATTTTCTGCTCTCTCCAAGCATGAAACATGTGCGCTTATGCGCCGACTCATAGCTAATCAGCGGCGCGTTCAAGCGCTTAGCCAAGCTAAACAAGCCACACAAGTTGGCGCTACTATTTTCAACACCATAAATCAACATAATTAAGTTCAAGTACAGCAACAGTCAATTTGTCGCACGATACGGGAACAATGACTTGTCTCAATAGAATGAAAATTAGTTATTATAATATAAAAATACAGTTATCACATTTATAGTTTTCGATACCTGATTTTATTTTAGGATTGGTGCCTCTAGCGACTGAAGTGGCATGTGTGTATGTATATATTTGTATAAGTTGCTTACAAATATTATTATAAGTAGCCACTTATATGTTTCCCAAACTGTTAAAAATTGGTTTACAGCACAATTTACTTACAAAAAGTCCAGTAAATAGCCTTTAATCTATTTATTAGGTTGTCTAAAAAGTCTTGCGCTAGTTGGCGCTGAGAGCGCGTAGTTAATAGTTTTATTCCTCACATCGGGTCATGCATTTTTGGAAAGATCATTTCAGACGCTAACACTTGTTTGACTGATTGTCGTTTCTTTTAAGTCGTTCGTGAGTTATAGCGTCGCAAACTTGGAGTAAAATAAAGAGAAAATACGGCATATTTTACAGTACTACTACGATAAAGGCAAAAATGCATCTCAAGCGGCCAATAAAATTTGTGCAGTTTAGGGACCCGATACAGTTTCCATTTCCACCGCACAACGATGGTTTCAACGTTTTCGTTCTGGTGTAGAGGTGGTCGAAGATGTGCCACGCTCCGGAAGGCCTGTCGCCGAAAATTGCGATAAAATCGCTGAATTGGTCGAAAGAGACCGGCAAAGTAGCAGCCGTAGCATCGGTCAAGAGCTGGGCATGAGTCATAAAAAAAAATGTTATGAACAATTGAAAATTCAATAAAAGTACCGCAAAAATACCGCCAGACTTTTTCGACAACCTAATATAACCAGTTTACAGGTTATCGAGATCGCAGCTTAAGTCTTTTGTATAGCTTCGGATCAAGCATACACAGTGCGCTTTAAACATCCGCTAAGAGCTCATCCTTAAACGTAACACATTTTTCTATAAACATTCATATATTTAATCGTTTAGTTTAATTTATGCGTAATTTTCAAATATACAACCTGCACCATATTTATATTCTAAGCTATAATCACAAGGCCAGACAGCCTAATTAAATGTTGCCGTTCCAGCTCAAAATGTAGCGCTAAACGTTTGCTCTATTTCACAGTGTTCGATTTTTTCTACAGAATTTGAGTAATCCTTGAAAAATGTGTACCAAATCGAACAACTAAATTATAGCAAACAAAAACAAGTGAAGTTTGATGCGCGCTGCCGCTGCTAATGAACGCGTTTGGCAAAACGAAAACAAAACAAAGCAAGCGCAGCCATAAAAATGATCGCCACAGCAACAATTTGCCAATACAAACAGCGGCGCTGCTCCAACACATATTGCTGCCGTGTTATATTTTTGGACCTTTTTCGGTATCGGCGACTTCGGTGTGTGGTTTTCAGCAGCCAACACCAGCGCGTCCGGCACTATTGCGCTCACCGGTGAATTTTAGTTTGCTTGCTACTCTTTTTTTGTATAAGTAGCGGCTGCTTGTTGTTGTGTGGCTGCTGCTAATGAATGGTTCTTGTTCATGTTGGCATTTTCGCTTGTTTTATCTTTTGTCTGCGTTGCTTGGCTGTCTAAGTTGGGTATAAATGGTTTTGGGATGCCAATAGAAATTGGCAGTCCAGTCTGCGTTTTTGCGCGTCTCGGCTGCTTAGGTGCACCTAACCAGATTTATAACCAGATTTTGAGTATATATGTATATTTGCATGTGCTCGCATGCAAATACCTTAAGCGCTGTGAAGGCTGCTTATTTGTTTTGGCAATGAAAGTGTTGGCTTTTAGAGATTCTAGAACGGATATAGAAGTGTGAAAAGGAAGTTGTCAGATAAATAACAAATGGCGGAATTATTAAAAATCCAGAGACAGAGAGTGTGAGTAGAAAATTGCTGAAGTTTTAGTAGGACTTTTGGTCGGACGCAAGCATATAATTTGCTTGGAAGAAATGGTATGACACTCAAGCGTAAATAAATACTATTAATACGAGTACTATAGCACATTTAGAACACTTTTATATACCTTGCACAAGTTTTTAAGAACTGAGTATATAGCTGCCATACAAACTGATCGATAAAAATTCAGTCCTTGTATGGACAGCCTTTTTAATCAGCGAGATATCTTCACGAAACTTGGCACGGAAAATTGCCTTTAGCAATGATTCAATCGCTGAACAAATTGTTCAGATCAGACTACTATAGCATATAGCTGCCATACAAACTGATCGATCAAAATCAAATTCTTGTATTGAAAACACTTTTATTTGGCGAGGTATCTTCACGATATTTGGTAAAGGTCATTGCCTTAAGCAATGGTGTAATCTATGAAGAAATTCTTCTGATCGGACTACTATAGCATATAGCTGTCATACAAACTGATCGATCAAAATCCATTCCCTGTAGGGAAAACTTTTTATTTAACAAGATATCTTCCCCAATTTTTTCCTACATTACTTTCCAAAGCAACGGTACAATCTAATAAGAAATTATTTAGATCGGACTTCTATAGCAAATAGCTTTCATTCAAATTGAACGATCGACGTCAAGTGATTATATGAAAATCTTCAGGAAAATCACCGAAGTTAAGGTATTTTCATGTTTTAAATATTAATAGTTTCGAAATAATGTTATAAATATAAATTTTAGTAGTTTTTTTTAAGAAAAGGATCAATTCGGGGCTTCTTAAATGTTTATAGAAATTATTTGGAAACTTCTACGTTCACTCGTAACGCCTATTGGACCAAAAACCAACGGTAAAACCAGTTTGGAACCATTGTACGAGCAAATACTTTTCACCAAAAAAGAGATATAGAAAGAAGAAGGAAGTAAAAAGGATAAAAAACTGAAAGTACGCCATAAGTGTATGAAAAAACCTCACAAGTTCAAGAGAACAGCATTCTAATCGTTGCTTACAAGTGGCAGCAGAAGTTCCCAGCTTCGCACTACAAAAACACTGCGCCAACAAACACACAAAGCTACAAGTAACAAAAAAAACCTTGCACAAAGCAAACAAAGTGATAATGAAGTGCACAAGAAACTGTCGAGAAAACGAGCAACAGGAGCGCAAAAAAAATCCAAATGAAAAAAAAGACATAAAACAACACGCCAGTATCAAAAGCGCACATTGAAACCACCAAAAATCACTGCGCAAAATTGCGAAATTAGAGAAACAATAGAAGAGGAGAAGAGTTGCAGAGGCAGTCGAATGTAAGACCATGCGGCAACGTCATTGGCGCACAAATCTTCGTAAGCAATTGCGGAATTTTATACCCTTTCGCTGCGCGTCATGGGCCTGTCGGCAGGAGCAGCAGACACAGTTTTTTCGGTCCAATAAAAGCAACAATGTAGTCAAGCATCAAATATGCTCACACCAACGAACTGCTTTGCAGATCATACTCACATAGCTCTCTACATATGTTTCGCTACATACATATATGAGTATAGTGTGTGTATATATGAGCATGTTTTCTTTGCTGTGCATCACAGCCAGTTCGTAGAAATATTCACTAAAATCTTAGCACAAACACACTGACGCGCAGTCGCGCGCGCGCACATCAAACACCTCTAACAGTCGAACAGCACGAAAAAAGGCAGACAAGCGAAAACAGGAATTTCGCTATGTAGTTGTTGAA